GAAACAACTGAAGCTTAAAATAAAGGAAAAAATGGTAAATGCTTTTAAGAGGAACATATCAGAAATCAAACCCAGTGCCCTGCCCCACCCTTAAAGGTTTCGGCAAGTGCTCTCCAGGGGCTATACTCCCTGGCCTTGGGATTCTTGATTTAACCACAGGCTCCTTTGCACTCATTTATTTCATAAGGATTTCTTTTAAAGTCAACACTCCTAATACAATGTAAATACAAACTATGTAAATGTCGAACACAAGGGCTCCTCCTGAGTGCTACTTACCCACTTGGAAAATTTGCTACTTTGCTACACAAGAGCTAGGTAACAGACCCAAAGGAAAAGAACAGTCCAGAGACAGAATGGATTCATCTTCCAAACACATTCATTTTAAGTATTTTGAATGTTAAATTCAAATGTTCCACATTTAGGACCACGTGACTGGAAACAGTGACAATCCAGAGAGCACCCTGTACTGAAGACAACAGATACACAGTGACATGGAGCAGGGGTCCTGGCCAGCCAAGTAAGGTCTGGGATGGCCCATGCTGTATCTCAGAAAGCAGTCATCAGAGTTTCTGCCAACAGTTTTCAAGGTGATCCAATCCACAGACAATTTCCAGAAATTAAGATACTTGGGCCTGCAAGGCACATGCCACCAATCCAGACCACCGGAGTTCAATCCCGAAGATCCATATGGTCGGAGAGAACTGACTCCCCAAATTGTTCTCTGATCTCTACATACGCACAGTGGTATGTGTGTGCCCCTCCACCACACACACAAATGGAATAAGTAAATACAATTTTTTAAGGAAATACATATGACACCTGTGTCACTTTAAAAGCTTCTTCTCTCTCCAGATCTAGCCCATTACTATTGCAGAATAAACCCATACATAACAAATACATCCTCTACAGAGGCTGACACGCTCGGGAAAGAAGGACGCCTAGAAAGCACACCAGTGTAACAGAGGCTGACAAATTGTGGTCACAAACGAGAGATGCAGGGATCAACAACCCCAGAGAACAGTGCAAAGTCCCAAGTGGGCACTCCCCATCCAAGACAGCCATCTTACCAGAGCCTGGTGTGAGCCCCGGGGCTGGGATACGGACACAAGAATGAGAAGCCCCCTAGCCCTCGTGAAATCTGTTGATTAGTGGGGGAGGAACACATGCAAATTTCCAGTGGAAAAGTGTGGGCCAAATGTGGCAAGGGCTTCATCGAGGCAATAGGAGGAATGTGCTCAGTATGAGCTTCATCAGAGCATTAGCACAGAAGCTACGAGCTGAAGGAGAAGAAACAGGAACACGGGGACCAAGAGGAGCGGATTCCAGCCTGGAGCCAGGAGAGGCACAGGATGACAGCAAAAGCAAGTACTGCCGCGGACAGCCCACGTCAAAGGGCACAAAACACTGGAGGGACAGGAGAGCTGAGTGACAGCAGAGACCAGAATACCTGCAGTGAGAACCCGGGGATGGAAGCCACTGGATGGTTGTTAGCAGAGAACTGATAGACTGATTGTTGCACCTTTTAAAGATCCCCTGCTCTAAGCAAAGGACTTAGAGGGGGAAACGAAGAAGAAACTCTTCCCAGGAGATTTCCCCAGGAGACAAGACACGATGGTGGCTCACATATATGTAGACACAAAAATGAAGCAAGTAGATTTGAGACACAGCTGCAAGCTAAGTGAACTGAGTGTGGGGAAAAAAAGGAAGTATCTGTAATTGCTTCCAGATTTTGTATGAGCAAACAGCTACCTGAGAGCACTGTTACGGTTTCAATCCTTAACGGCCTCCAAAGGCCCATCTGCTGAAGGGTCCACCAGCAGCAGAGGCACTAGCAGAACCTTAACAAGAGGAGATGTGGATGCAGACGGCAGGTCACTGGGAAGGGGATACTGGAATTCCAGCCCCTTCTCTTTTGGGCTTCCTGCTCAACCTAAATTGAACAGCTCTGCTCCACCTGACCATCCTGCCATGATGCGCTGCTCACCATCAGCACAAAAGCAAAGGAGCCAAGCAGTCATGAACCAAAACCTGTGAAAATGTGAGCCAGAGTATGCTGCTAAAACAAGGTGTTGGATAAATGAAGGAGGAGGTGTGGCTGTGTGAGCATACGTATCTGTTAAATGTTACACCTGCATGCAATGGGAGCTGACTTCAATCCTAAGATGCCAGCCTCTGCAGAAAACATACAATCTATAGGGACATTCAGATACAACAGTAGGATAGATCCAGACACAAAAGCTGCAAGTGGAACAGATGTCATGTAACTGTCTCTATAGGACACTGTGTAAACTCAGTCATGTTAGCAGTATCTATGGGAAAGGCCAGACAGCAGGTGATCATAACAGAAAGGTGGGAGTATCTTGGGAAAAGCCATTCTTCAGAGGGATAACCATGATGACTATGAGCACACAGGAAGAGGTAGGACTTCTCCTGGGGTGTTTTGTTTTATCTTTAAAGACGGAAATCAGTACATAAGAGACGAGAGCATGTGCAAATGTCCTGTGAAGAGCCCACAAAAGAGGCTGAAAGGCTACACAGAACATAGGAAGGCACCGAATGCTGACACTGCATGGGGAGCTACCCTGTCCTGAGACCTGAGATCTTTCCTTCCCCCTAATAAGAGCCAGTATCCCTATGTCTGCAGACGTCATGAAGAAGCCGTGGGAAGGACTACAGATGGTTATTTTCTCTGTGAGGTATGAGACAATGACGTCTACAGAGTTCAGGCCTGAGAATAATGGGAAGATGCCCCCTCCCCGGTAGGCTTCAAATGAGGATTACTGCCTATGGAATCAGGAACATCCCTGGGCAGGGCTAAAGTCCTGCTGGAGAAGTGAGCATGAGTTTCACCTGCCTTATTGTAGGGTTTTTCTCTCACCATGAAGAGAGAGGATGAGAGATGAGGTTCATCCCAGATGGAAGCACTTCCTAGAAACACAAATGCATCGGCACCCCAAGCTGGGGTACCTGGGATGCTGCTGAGCTGAGTTGAGCTGAGCTGAGCTGAGCTGAGCTGAGCTGAGCTGAGCTGAGCTGAGCTGCAGGTATCTCCAAGTCACAAAGAAGTAAATCCTTCAGTGAGAGACCATGGGCAGGGACCAAGCTAGAGCAGACAACAGGTGCCTTCCGGGCCAAGGTAAAACTGAGAAAGCTCCTCCAAGTGGAAAGAAAAACAGCAGCTTGAGGCTGGGAGCTCCTAGCAGTTCAGTGTTCATGCAAGAGGACCACAGGAGGCTAGAGACATCAGATGTCATCTGTCACCATCAAAACAGTACCAAGGAAATGCTCAAGGAATGACAAAGACATCCGTGACACGGGTGTGTGACAGTCTCCTCAAACCCTGAACTCCAGGACTCCACACTCCAGCAAACACTCCCTCAGAAAAGGAGACCCAGAAGCTAGCTCAAGAGTCATTTTAGGTCATGGAATTTTCCTTCATTTAGAGAACTGGTCTGATACACAGACATCTGCCTGTCCACCAGGAGTTAAAAAGGAATATGGGAAGCGTCTGGGGGCCTCTTCCTGCCGAAGTCAACGGCAAGCTCCCAAAGCAGAGGAGCGGGGACAGCCCACAGCACACACAGGTCTCGGCTTTGTTTAGTTCATTAACCGAAAGCGCTCTGAAAAGCTTAAAACCCATCACTGGGTTGTCATCCCCTGGAAAGTCTAGTCTGTAACTCTACAACAGAGCCAGAGCCTAAAATACCTTCTTTAAGAACAAAGTAAGCCAATAGTCATTTTTGTAAGAACTGCTGGTCACAGAACAAGGGCTGTTTTGTTTTCTTCTTTCTCTCAGAAGAGACTGGGGGCCCCATGGATCTCACGTTCCCTTCATAATTTCACAGAAAGATAGCGTTGTCACTGTAGAGTACTGCTCCTACTTCCTAATACCAAAC